AGATAACACAAGATTAATGGGATGCAGTTACTAAAACTGAGAAGGCTTATACAGGGCTGAATATAAATAATGTATAGATTATTAGAAATGCTTCTATATACTATGACCAGATTATTATTTTTTTACTCATTTTTTTACTCATTTTACTCATCTTACAACTCTTATCACAATCCATCCATCTATCCATCGTGTCAAGCACATTTGTACATTTGTTGCCATCAAAATTTTCAAAACCTTTTCTTTCTACTTGAGCCTTTGGTATCAGCTTCTCATTTTTCCCCTCCCACCCTCATAAACCCTTGATAATTTATAAATTATTATTATTTTTCATGTCTTACACTGACTGATGTCTCCCTTCACCCACTTTTCTGTTGTCCATCCCCCTGGGAGGGGGCTATAGATGGACCATTGTGATCAGTTCCCCCTTCCTACCCCCACCTTCCCCTTCCCCTCCTGGCATTGCTACTCTCAATATTGGTTCCAAGGGGATTACCTGTCCTGGATTCCCTGTGTTTCCAGCTCTTATCTTTACCCGTGTACATGCTCTGGTCTAGCCAGATTTTTAAGGTAGAATTGGGGTCATGATAGTCAGGAGGGGGAACATTAAAGAACTAGAGGAAAATTGTATGTTTCAACAGTGCCATACTGCACCCTGACTGGCTTGTCTCTTCCCCATGACCCTTCTGTAAGGGGATGTCCAATTTCCTAAAGATGGGCTTTGGGTCTCCATTCCACATTCACCCTCATTCACAATGATATGATTTTTTGTTCTGGGTCTTTGATGCCTGATACCTGATCCCATTGACACCTCATGATCACACAGACTGGTGTGCTTCTTCCATGTAAGCTTTGTTGCTTTTCAGCTAGGCGGCCCCTTGTTTATCTTCAAGCCTTTAAGACTCCAGACACTGCATCTTTTGACTGGGAACAATCAGCTTTCTTCACCACATTTACTTATGCACCCACTTTCTCTTCAGTGGTCATGTCAGAAAGGTAAGCATTGTGGAATGCCAGGTTAATAAAACAAAGTGTTCTTGCATTGAGGGAGTATTTGAGCAGAGGCCCAATGTCCATCTGTTACCTTAATACTAAACCTATAAATATATGTACATAGACCTATTTCCCCATGATATATAAATACATTTACATATGTACATGCCAGCATTTAGACCTCTATAAATGTCCTTTGCCTTCTAGTTCTTTCCTCTATTTCCTTTTACTTTCTTCTTATCCCAATATCATGATCAGCCTTCATTTGGGTGTAAGTAATTCCTCTCAGTTACATTTGGAGGGTGTAGGAGGCCTGGTAGGGCTTGATCAAGGGCAAGATGACCAGATTCTTAAATGTAAAATGATGTATCTTTAAAACAAGCTGAAAAAATGAAAGATCTTTAGAATGAGGCAGCCAAACAAGATGACAAGGAATTTAGAAACCCATGTGTGATGGTTGGGGTTGTGTGTCAACGTGGCTGGGCTCTGTTTTTCAATGGTTTGCCAGTGATGAGGTAGTCAGCTCCAATGATGAAATCTTATATAATGTGCTGACTTCCATAATGGACTGACACCTTGGCTACGGTGAGGCTGGTGCGGGACCAGGCAGTGTTTTGTTCAGTTGTACATAAGGTTGCTGTGAGTCAGAACCAACTGGATGGCACCTAACAGAAGCAACAACAAAAAGGGTGTAGCCTGCTTCCAATATACATGGACATTTTGGCAAAGCTCTCCTGCTCTTTGCTGCATCTAACATAATTTTCCTCCTGTTCTTTATATTTGAACCTGTGGCCTAATATATTACCTGCTGATCCTGGGAGTTTTTAGTCTATGCATCTTGTCAGTCAGCAGCCTACAATCTGGCTTACTGACCTTGGGATTCAGGTCAGAAGACTATGCTTTGACCACCTCTCTTGGGTTCTTCACCCGCTCTAGCTACATAATCCCAGAGAAGCCTCCAGTCTGACATTTGACCCACCGATTTGGGAGTTTTCATCCCCTATCACCATGTGAACCATTTCCTTGAGATAAACTTGTTTATATATGTTCCACTAAGACTTTGCAATAGGTCTAATTCTAACCCACAATATATTAATGTCTTTAATGTATATCATATCACTTAGATGTCTTGATGCCTTCAGATTCGAATAAGCCGATTTAGGGACAGCCTAGAATTAGCATTTCTAATAAGCTTTCAGGTGATGGTGCTGATGCTGCTGGTTTATAGACCAGCAGCACATTTACAATAACAAGAGATCAGATCATTGTAAATCAAGAAGTATTGCTACTAGGGTATCAGTCCATATGCACACAGGTTGATCCCAAACAAAATCTGTTTAAACATGTTTCTGTTGTCGACAGATTGCTACAGAGAAGTTCTCTCAATAATACACTTATCTTTGTGTCTTTAGTACCAGAGAGGGAGAGAAGGAGAGAGAGAGAGAGAGATCTGTGAAAACAATGGTTTCCAAGAGGATGTTCTGGGCCAGAATTCAAAGCAGAACTGTCAGCCCAGAAATGTATGGCAGCTGCTTTTTGGGACCCCAAAGGGCGAATCTATGTATTTTCTCAAAGGTCACCAGATATCACAAGGGCCTATTATAAAAAGTTGTCAGAAAATTGGAAACTACATTGATGATAAGAGCCAGCAGATTTGCACTGTGGAAATATTTTTCCAGCTCAACAATGCACCTACTCATTTTACAGGATAGTAGGGATTTGGGGGGGAAATGTTAGCCCTCCTACCCTACAATCCTTATGTTAGGGTCCTGGATTGGGCTGCCTTGGTTCTAGCTTTGTGGTGCTGAAAGAATTCACACTACTGCAGCACTTTTGTAATCCAAGTGAGTTTTTATGAAGGAAAGGGGAAGTTTCACATATTACAGTCTCAATGGGTACATGCTATTTCTGGAAAGCATTCCAGGCCGTGTGGAAGCCATATAGTTTGCCTCTGGGCATGAAATACCATGTGGAAAGAATACAGGAACAGGAGCCCAAAACCCACACTTGAGGTGCCCTGAAATCCCAAAGGGTCACGAAGGAGCACTGAAAGGGAGCCTGGTCCACATCTCCCATGCAGCACATGTGCACCCACAGTGGGGGAGAGACTCCCACCCTCTGCTTACAGCTTATAGCTGAACAAGAGCAGAGTAAAAGGGAAATGGCCTTCCTGTGGCCTGTGTATTTAACCTCTGACTGGGGAGACATGGTTGAAGGTATTGTCTAATCCTATTGGCTGAGTTTAAGAGTACCCGGGTGATGTCATGGGCCTGGGCCTAGTCTGTGTGCTCAGGTGGACCTCCTACCTGGGCCTATGGGTCTTGTGTCAGGATGCTCAGTTTGGATCTTTCCCATAGGTGTCTAAAAGCTGCCTGATTTCTTTCCAACCTCATTATGCTGGCATGGAAAGTTAAACTTTGTTTAGAGCAGGCATTAGGGAATGCCCCTTTGTCCTAATCTAGCAACCTGACACTTACGTTGCCCCTTCAGAACTTGTTGTTCAAACTCAAATGACGTTGAAAATGATATGATCTGAGTTCCGCAAGGATACCAAAGCTGCAGGTTTTACAAAGCGTAAATCAAGGTGTGTAGAATTCTTCAGGAAAGGGTTGAGAGATGGAAATACCTTTAGAAATGTATAGCGTTAGCTTCATGTTTTGCCACTTTTGTTTCATAAGGCTGTCTATAACTTTGCAGTACCATTTTTTAAATTACCCTTGCACTTCACAATAAACCAAAGAGAAATTTCCAAAGCAAAATTGTTCATGCTTAGTTCAGTAGTAAAAAGCCAACGATCAGTGTATATCAAAATTACAATGAGTTTTCTCTGAGTATTTTTTAGATTGAGCTGATAAACATGGTCACAAATGTAGTTTAATGTATAATGACTCACAGTGCTTTATTATCTAAATAAAATTGTTTTAAAATATTGGCTAATTTGGTCTTCACAGCAGGTTTATGATGTAATGGAGTATTGCCATTGTGTCTGAGGACACAAAGATCCAAGGCAAGTGGATCCTGCATAGAGCTCTTAGACTACAGTGCCAAGACATGGATCCAGCCTCCCTTCCTATGCCTACATTCTTCTCTTCTTTTCTGTCAGCTGTTCTTGATGTTTGTCTGTGTGCCCTTAGTTGACTAGCACTAAACAGAGGCAGACTCCTACTAGCTCAGAAATAACTAAAACAGCAAGGATCTGATTTGGCTTTAAATGTACAAATAATAAGAACAAAGTGATTTTAAAATAGTAAAGGTAATTTTAGGAGACCCACACCAGTGCTGAGATGCTTCCCCAACCACTGGATCCACAAGACTTTCCACCCAGTGGCCTGTGATCTTCCTGTATTTGGCATAATTGCATATGTTGCGGGAGTCTGAAGAGGAATTTATAGACTGGTATTGGACATATGGGCTAATATTGGACTTATGGACTTGATATGGAGCGGGCTGGGATGTGTTCCTAATAGGCAATTACTCTTTGATATGAAGTTCTCTCTTATTCACATATGCGTCTCCCTGGATTTGTTTCTCTAGTTTACCCCAATTAACACATTATGGTATCGTGGGAGTGGGGTACCAGAGAAACATATCATGGAGAGTGATGCTTATTTGACCTCTGCCACATGGGAGTTTTTCATCTTTGGGTAGCTAGAGGTCAGACATGGCCATGCAGTTTACTGGGCTGTTTTCTGGAAAGAATATGGGAAGGTAAAGTTTTGATTCTTGTATTTGGCTGTTGTCTTTGGCTACTCCTGTTTGAAATGGTGAAAATGAATGTGATGAATGGATATTGAGTAAAAGGGACAAAATTGTCCTTTGAATTTCTCAGAGACTGTGCTGCTTAGTGGAAATGACTGACGGAAGGTGAAAATGGCTGACAAAAAGCCTGACTCGAGCTTGATTCAGTCAGAGGCCTAAGAATAGATTTTGGATTGATGGAATAGTTTAGATAAAGATTAAGATAAGTTAAAGAAGGTTGAACTTGCCTATTTTAAGAATTGAGTATAACAATCGCTGTTCAGCCTTTTGGCTAAGATCAAGTGTATTATCTGTTCTTACCAGTTTAATATATGATACATCCTCTATCCAAGGGTAATATATTACCTGGAGTTTTGGAGCAGGGAGATGGAATAGGAGCTTGCTCTGTCCACTCCATGCATCGACCTGGTATTGCAGTACTTCCAGGAATGGTGCACACCCTTCAGGGGACAATAAAATAGATAAATAGAGTATAGGATCTGACTATACTAGGTTTATACTGTTTTCTTATGCCTACTATTATTGATATAATGATTGATATAAATGATTATTGGGAATTATAAATAAAGAGTTTGTAAGTTGTTTCAGCCACCAATTTGAAGCTTTAAATGGGTTAGGACTAGCCTGCAAAGAGAGCTCTGAAAAGCTAAGCCACACTCAGTACTCAGGACATTAGTATTCAAAGAGACTTGCTTAAGGAGCTGTTGACAGACTGAAGGAAAAAGGAACTCTGGCTTTTTGAATTTTGAAAGAGTGGTTTGTGCCAAAGCTGGAAAAATCTGGAGCCCTGAAGAAACACTTCTCTGCGACTGAACATTAAAGAGAGCCTGTGGGCAGGCTGAAATGCTTGCTAGGTGACCACCTGGATCCACTTGTTGAGTGGAAGTGAAAGAAATGCTGCAATAAAGTGATGCGTTGTGTCTGGCCACTGACACTTTTGGACCTGGTTCACAGGGACTAGAGGAGATGAGAGCGGGTTGACAGGTCTGCAGTTCATGACCTAGCACAAGGGGGCTAAGGTTGTTGAGAATTTGTGATAGTGCCCATGGTCTAAAGGTGAGGTGACTGACTACTGGGCACCTTGGTGAGGTTAAGTGAGGCGACCCACATTGAATTGACCAGAACCCGACCAGATGAAGGTAGCATATTTGAGCCTGTGAACTGGTGCACATTGCTGCTAATTTTATGGATGGTTTGTCCTGATTTTACTTTGCGTATGGGTGCAGACTACACAAGTTTACAATTGGAAAGAAGATTCTTAACATCAAAGAACATGATTGTGTCTTTATAGCACTGGGTTGATGTTAGTGGGAAGTCTAGAAATTGGATACCCAAAATGGGGTGGATAAAGGCATGTAGTGGCTGGCTTACCAACTTTCATTGGTGGAGGAATATATTAATAGTATTATGGTGCAGGTGTTCACTTAACTGCAATTGTTAGGCATAGAATAAAGAATATGGTTGTGTTGTTCACTGATAGAATATTATTTTTAAATGAGTTTGGGGTGCATATTGAGTTGCATGAATTTTAGCTTTATCCTGTAAGGTACAGATATGATTTCATTATTGTTTCATTAAAAATTATGTATGGCTAAAGAGTTTTATAAAGGTGTCAAGTTGACAAGAGGTGGTCTGTGGCAGTTACACGATCTCCTGTCAACTTGCAAAAGGGTGGAGGTTTAGCTTGTCAATCAGGTTGCAGCTTGATGACCTCATTTGGAGGCACGGAGGAGATCGATAGCTCACTGGAGATCAGATATACTCTCTGCTTTGTATTCCTGTTGACAAACCAAATGGAGACACATTGATGGAGCCAGAGTCCTTGCGTTAGTCCAGGCAGACTTGAGAAACAAATTCATAGACACTCATATGTGTATAAGAGCTTTATATAAAGATTAATTGTACATTAAGGAAATATCACAGCCCAGTCCAGATCAAGTCCAGAAGTCCGACATTAGCCCATATGTCTGATACCAATCAATAAAGTCCTCTTCAGACTCATGAAACACATGTAATTACACCAAATGCAGGAAGATCACAGGCCAGTGGGTTGGAAGTCTTATGAATCCAGTAGCGTTGTAAGCATCTCACCACTGGCAAGGGTCTCCATGGGGGCTCTTCCAGCTCAGGACATTAGCAGATTTTCATGTATCTTGTGGGTTGAAATGTCTCCCAGGGAGTGAGCAGAGAGAGAGTGTCTCCTGCCTCCAAGGAAGAATACCAGAATTCCCAGAATCCTCAGGAGAAGGCCATGCCCACAGAGAAGCCTTATTGGCTATGACCTGATTGACAAGCTAGACTCTACTCCTTCACACTTAATCCTCTCAAATTGACAAATGATTATATAACTACCACCACAGCCCTGGAGCTGGGGGAGCCACGTGGAGACCCACGCCAGTGCTGAGATGCTTCCACCACCACTGGTTCCACAAGACTTTCCACCTACTAGTCTGTGATCTTCCTGAATTCAGCATCATTGCATGTGTTGCGGGATTCTGAAAAGGAATTTGTAGACTGGTATTGGACATATGGGCTAATATTGGACTTATGGACTTGATCTGGACTGGGCTGGGATGTTTTCTTAATATACAGTTAGTCTTTTATAGAAAGCTCTTTTTCGTATACATGTGATTTTCTATGAATTTGTTTAAAAATAATACTCCGAACTAAGTGTTAATCTCTAAATGTCAAGGATATTTACAAAATTTAGAGGTCTAATATTTTCATAGAAAAATCCCTTTACATTCCTGTAGAGACAAAGAAATTAAAATAAATCAAGAAGTGCTGGGAAGGAAAATATCAGAATCTCTATATATAAAAAACACCTCACCATAGATGGCAACAATACTTTTCAAAGCTAAGTTTTCTTTACCTTATTTAAGGTTATAATCTTTGTGTGTGTTTGTGTGTGTGTGTGTGTGACAATTTAAAGAAAATACTGCCTCTCGTCTTGAAAGATATGGCTCAGCGATATCTTGTGATTATTGTCCTTTCTAGCATCACATTTGAAAATCGTGAGTTTTCTCCAAGTGTACATTTACTTCAACTTAAAAAAAATAACAAAATCAAACCAGTTGTCATTAAATCAATTCCAGCTGATAGTGACCCCATGTGTTTCAGAGATGTGTTTGAGTAGCTATGAGGATGCTTCTAGAAGATGAATTTGTGCCGCCAACCTTTTGGTTAATAATCAAGTGCTTAACCATTTGCACCATCCAACACTGGTCTATTCTGTGCCTGGCTAATACTTAATAGTCCATTGAATCATCAAGTTACACTGAATAAACTTCAGGCGTTCTCCATGAGAATTGAAAACTCTCATGTTAAAAAATAATCCTTAGAACTTTTCCACTATGTGTTATTAAGTGGAGAGCTCTCTGTCTGAAAATCATGAGTGTACTAAAATCAAAAGTGTACTGTGCCCTGGGCTGGCTTAACTACTTGATATTAGTAAAAGAGAAGGCCCATCACAGTGACTGGCTTAAAAAAAAATGTATTCAGGTAAAGAATCATCAATCATTGGAAGTTTTAACCTACTGCTAATTTTTGTTAGTGCATATTTCAGAAGATATTAGCTGTATCGATATAAATGGACAGTTCAAACGTTGCCTCTCTCTCCACTTCCCACCAGTCACTCCGTTTGATTACTTTGTCCTTCTCTTTTCCCTTTTCCCCCTAAAGCACCAAGCACCTCCTACTCTTGAACTATCAGATTCCTGATTTTTTCTGCCAACCATGTCCTCAGCTTCAAAAAAGGTTGCTTTGTGATGTGCTTCATAATTTTTGTCATGACTAATTTGTCTAACTCTCCTTTTAAGATCTACTTTTTGTAAGAACCAGCAGCATGATGAGAGTAGAGGTTTTGTTTATTCATCACCGTGTCCATGGTTCTGTTTACAATGCTTGGCACCTGGTGGCTCCATAGATATTTGTTGAATCTGGCTTTATAAACTAGATGGCAAACGCTTGCTGTCACTTACATGCACTACCAGGCAATGCCTTTTGAAACCTATACAGACAAATAATATATGAACTTCTACGTTGATTCAAAATAGAATCATTTGCAGCAGATGTGATTCTAAGGAAGTCAGTGTTACATGAAAGGTTGGCTTTAAAGAGAACATAGTTGACATTGACCTAGTGATTATTTGCTCAGTATCAGAAGAGATTCATGGCTTCTTCCTATATATGTACCTTGACCACGACCATAGACTCATGGGTGGCCAATTTTAAACTGCTTTACTATAAATCACTGAGAAACACATCTTGTAGAAAGTAATGATTTCTTTACAGTGTAATTTTTGGTTATTTACTGCCATAATTTGGAGTGTCTGTTGAAATTCCAGAATACCTTCAATGTTTGTTTGTTTGTTTGTTTTCTTTCCCAGTTTTATTTCTCCCTCTATTTATTCTGCTGGCCACTGAAGTGCAGGTGTTATTATTTTTTAAGAGTGAGAAGCAAGGTACTTTCATTTAACACCTTATTTGATATTTTGACTAACAACTTATCACCTTGAAAGATGAAATACATGGAGATAAACAAGTAACACTCATCACCACGTAGGTATGATAACACTGTCTTCTCTTCAAGAAGTGAATACTAAGCTGTGATTCAAACTGTACTTAAACCATAGCTTCTCATAAGATGTACTTTTGGGAAGGCTGGGTCAAACCCTTCAAATAGGGATGTTCCATGAATATGCAATGTAGGAAGCCTTTTATGGAAGGATGAGACCATTTCCTAAGAGAAATGTGTTATTTCCTAAAAATGTTTAAACAAAAGGTGTTGTGTGCATCACACTCCCCGGGTAATTGTAAAAACGTCATCAAAACCAGCTCATCTAGATTCGCACGCCTTTGTTTTGGAGGAAGACCAACTGGGAAACATATAAAACAGGTATGCTGCCCACAAAAGGTCAATTAAAAAAAATCCATTCTGCAAAAAAACCTTCTGCTTCCTTTGGATTTATGACCAGGAATACATCCAGGAACAGGGCTTCAAAATCTAAGTGGTGTTCCATTATTTGCAGTTACCTGGGATCTTAACTAGATGTGCAAGTTGCCTTCTGGCCATGGGGATCCTCTCCATGCATGGGTTATGGTATGTTGAGGCCCTGGCTGAGAACCAGTTCCACAGAAGCAACTTCAAGTTCTTCTGCAGAAGCTCCATAGCTCTGTGGAACAAGGAATATAAATGAGCGATGCCACGAGGAGCTGCGGATGAGGCAACCAAAATACAACCCTAGAAATAAAAAACGGTGAAGGGACAAGTCAAAAAATGTTCAAAGAGGCGTTCTAAAATGGTTCCAGTGACTGTGCCGAGAGCACTGGAGGATTTTGTTAAGCATTTGACAGACGATAGATCTGTTTTTAGGCTTAATGCGTAAGCAGGCTACGCCTTCGTTACAAAAAAGTTTTCAGCATTCCCAGTGTGTAAAAAAAAAATCAAATGTCTAGAATGGGAAATGACAAAAAAAATATTTAAAAGGTAGGGAAAAAATAGTTAGGCTTTAATCATTTCCAATCTACTTATGTCTGATTTTTTATGAACCCTTCCGCCACCCATAGTCATACACCAAACATACCAACATTTAAACCTTTTATAATCACCAAAGAACAGGTTACATATTAATATGTTTATTAATGGAACTCGGGTTTTTTTCCCCCCCGTTGGTTTTTAAATGAATTGCTAGTCCATTCTGGCCTTCATTCAGTTCCATTATAGTCCTTAATCCTTTTCCGATGGCTACCAGTTAATGTCCTGTTCCATGAAGAGAGTTTCCGTTTCTGGCGGCACTTGGGGATTTGTCTGTTTGGGGCTGAAATAATGGCAGTTTATAAAGTTCTCTCTCATCTTCCGACCCAACTAGGATTGACAAAGGCATTTCCATAGGCAAATGGTTTTCTTCCTCTCTCTGGTCATCTACCTCCTCCTTCCCATCTTCCTTTTCTTCTTCTTCCTCCCCCTCCTCCTCGTAGTCGGCCACTTCGACCTCCTCTCCATCTTCAGCCTCTCCCTCTCCATCCTCCTCCTCCACCTCCTCTTCATTCTCTCCTTCCTCTTCGACACCCTCACTCTCCTCCTCTTCCTCCTCCTCCTCCTCTTCCTCCTCCTCCTCCTCACTATCCTTCTCAGCACACACTTCCTCCTCACACTCTTCCTCCTCCGTGCCATAGATTTTCTCCTCTTCCTCCTCCTCTACCTGCTGGGGGGTGGGGCACTGGTTTTCCCCTGGAGAGGCTGGGCTGGAGGCCACCGTGCTGTACAAAATCTCCTGCAGCTCCTCGTCGTCTGCACAGCCGCTGGGGGGCGCCTCTCCCCCGGAGGCGGCCAGAGGCGGGGCCTGGGGGCTGGCCTGCTCCTGCTGGGCCTGCAGCGCCGCCTGCTGGCGCTCCTGTTCCTCCTGGTGCCGCATGTCTTCGTAGATCTGGTTCATGATGAACTGTGTGGTGTTCCTTGGTGCGCGCATGCCTGGCGCGCGCCACCCATACAAGTTGACCGGCCGGAGCAGCATCCGCAGATCCACGGGCGGGCTCCTGGGGAAGGCTCGGCGGGGCGGGCGGCGCAGGCCACGGCCTCGGCGGCCCCATCTCTTCTTCCTCCCGTAGGGCCGGGTCCAGCCGGGGTGCCAGGCTCCACACCAACAGGAGCAGCAGCAGAAGCAGAGAGGGTGCAGGCCATGCACCCGGATCATTTGCACCCCGCTGGGGACGTTGCAGAATCCCGCCGGGGGCGGGTACCAGGGCCCACCGGGATGCCCCCGGTTGGCATACATTGCCCTGTAGGGCCGTCGTGGGGGTTGGTACCAAGGGTCTGGGCTGTGCTGTTGTCGCGGCTGTTTCCTCGGGGGCTCATACTCAGCCTGGGGGCCATAGTGGGGTCGCCGTTTGTAAAGCGGGGTGCCCCTGCGCCTTCGGGGGCATGATGACCAGGCGCGCAAGGGGGCTGAGGCTGCCCAGCCTCCGCCCAGGTTGAGAGGGTCCTCCCGTTTGTGGAGGGTCTGGGTCATGGTTCAGAGAGCCCTGCGCCTTCGAAAGGGTCGTCCTGTCCCAGAAACTGCGGTCAAGCTTGGCCAGACGCGAAGCCTCGTCGCGGGGTGTGTCCGCGCCGCGCCGCGTGCGAGCTGCCGCCGGGGTCACGCCTTTCTCTCCAGGACTGCCCCCTCTTCTGGATGCTTCCGTCGCTCTCCCTGCGCCTTCGAAAGGGTCGTCCTGTCCCAGAAACTGCGGTCAAGCTTGGCCAGACGCGAAGCCTCGTCGCGGGGTGTGTCCACGCCGCGCCGCGTGCGAGCTGCCGCCGGGGTCACGCCTTTCTCTCCAGGACGGCCCCCTCTTCTGGATGCTTCCGTCGCTCTCTCTGGGTCTTCACACCTGAGTTGTCTCGCCCAGGTGGTCTGGGTGGGACTGGGGCTGGGTAAGGATGGTGGAGGAGGAAGGTGTTGGTGGGCAGCGCGCCCGGCGACCCGCTCCCAGATCCCGCCCACGCCCCCTCGGCAGAGGCGCGGCTTGGGGACGAGGAGGCAGGGGGTGCGCGTTACCTTGGGACTCCCTCTCAACCCAGGTGCTTCAAGGTGGCCGTCCAGGCCGGACTGAGGTGGCGCGGACTGCGGCCGGCCTTTAAATACTGGCTGGGACGCCCACGTGCCCTCCGCGTCCTTGGTTGCCTTGGGCGACAGCCAATGGGAGATCCAGGTGCTTCTCCTGGTGACTGCGGGCAGGTTCCCGCTGGAAGGGGGTGCCCCGTGAACGTTCTGATGGGGGCTTGTGACGCAGCTTTTGCAGGAGGAGAGCAGGCGCCGCTGTGGCTGAGGATGGTGTCATCCCAACAGAGGCCATGCTTGAAGCCACTTCTGTGGACGATTTCACTATTTCAGGGTGTTGGTTAGGAGGGCAGAGGCATTGAGAAACATTTAGAGCAGCCGAGGGAATAGAAAGAAAGCTTCTAAAGTAAGAAAACCTGGCCTCCAAGACTTGCCCACATCTTTCTTTTAAGTCCTGGGAACCACATTCTTGATATGATGATCTGCAACGTTTATTACTGCTGCTTAACTACACACGCAGGCCCAGAATCCTCACATGTCTTGCGAGACAGACATTTAAACACCGCTCACATTGTAACACCGCTCACATAGGCAGCTGGTTAATTTGACCTCGGTTGAGCTTGTGGGGTTAATCCACTTCAGGGCTAGGATTCAAACCAGGGCCCGTTTGAACCCAGAGTCTAAGTTCCTATGGCTCTTACGATACTCAACCACTCAAGGAGGGACCTTGTGATGAATAAATGAAATACATAAGGAAAGCATTTTGCAAACTATACCGCATCATTCATAGGCTAACCTACCGGCCAGTAGTTTGAGAGTCACCAGCTGACTCTGAAAAACATGGCAATCTGCGTGGGTAAAGAATACAGCCTTGGACACCCTGGAGGGCAGTGATATTTCGCCCTATAGGTTTGTGATGAGATGAGATCGACAGCACACACAACAGTGCACTGGTGTTTTAAAGCATTAAAGCACTTAGCACAGCAAGGACTCGGCCGCTGTTTATTATCATTCTCCTAGTAAGACTTTGCTTTTATAAAATAGAATACCCCACATGCAGTGACACTTAACTGTGATGGACACATGGGACAGTAGGGCCGTCCCCTATGACCTTTTCTTATCCCACTGTAGAAAACAGCAAGTAAGTCTACCAGGTTTAAGTCTAGAGAAAATGATCCCTGAGTATATTCCTCTCCTATTTTCTTATGCTGAGTGGGAGTGTGCAACGTGGGAAACCGCCTGTTAGGAGCCTCCGACTCTTCAAGTCATCCTTAAATGACAGAGATGTAAAGTGTGCAAAAGCCCTGGCACTCCCAAAGGTCATTTATTCTTTCCTGGTTGAAAATTGAAAACAGTATGGGTACTCTTGGATCAAGATTCCAAACTCTGCCTTGGGACCTAGAGACTCCCTCAGCTTCCTTTCATTTGATCCTTGTTTTGCTGAGGGCGGCTCAACTCACAGTGTGTAACCCGACACTTAGCCTCCAGTGTCCACTTCTGTGATTTTAGGTGTAGTTACTTTTCTCCTGCTTTGCTTAACTCAAAATGGAATGACGATATTCCAAATTTATTTCTCACAGGACATATGTGGTAAAAGAGATTGCTTTTTGATGTAAAGCTTCAAAAATGACCATGTTTCTGTATCAGAATTTCTAGGTTTCTTGTTTCAGGAAAATTACAAATAATTTTACAGGTATTCACAAACACTGTGACTTACTGTCTAAATAACATGAGCTTTACCCACCGCAGTGTAGTGAATTACTTAATGTAATGTTATAGCCATAGTCTGTAACTTCCACAAGACTACTATTTTTCTAATGAGTCAGGGTAAGAACATGAGTGTGTGGTGGTGGTGGAGAGTGGGAAGGATGGCTGGAGGGGGGGGCAACAAGATATAAATAGGAATAAATAATTCCATTATGAATAATTGTTAAAAGGATTAATTTCTTTTTTAATTAACCATTTTATTGTGGGGGGCGCTTACAAATCTTTTTTTTTTCAAATCTAATAATCTATTATTCAATTGTATTAAGCCCACTTGTACATATGTTGCCATCACCATTTTCTTTCTGCATGAGCTCTTAATTTTTCTTGTTTTTTTTAAATCATTTTATTGAGGGCTCATACAGCTTTTATCACAATACATACATACATTGTGCAAAGCACATTTGTACATATGTTGCCATCATTTTCAAAACATTTTCTTTCTACTTGAGCTCTTGGAATACGCTCCTCAATTTTCCCCTCTCTCTCCACCCTCCTCCCCTCATGAACCTTTGGTAATTTATAAATTATTGTTATTTTTCATGTCTTACACTGACAGATGTCTCCCTTCACCTACTTTTCTCTTGCCCATCTCCCAAGGAGGGGGTTACATGTAGATCACTGTGATCTGTTCCCTCATTTTTCCTCCCACCTTCCCTTTACCCTCCTAGTATTGCTACCTAGTATTGGTCCTGATGGATTGATCTGTCCTGGATTCCCTGTGTTTCCAGCTCTTATCTGTACCTGTGTAAATACTCTGGTCTATCTGGATTTGTAAGGTAGAATTGGGATCATTATAGTGGGGGGAGGAAGCATTAAAAGGCTAGAGAAAAGTTGTATATTTCATCGGTGCTATACTGCACACTGACTGGCTCGTCTCTTCCTTATGACCCTTCTGTAAGGTGATGTCCAATTGTCTACAGAGGGGCTTTGGGTCTCCACTATGCATTCCCCCTCACTCACATTAATATGATTTTTTGTTCTGGGTCTTTGATGTCTGATACCTGATCCCATTGACGCCTCATGACCACACAAGTTGGTGTGCTTCTTCCACGTAGGCTTTGTTGCTTTTCAGCTAGATGGTCGCTTGTTTGTCTTCAAGCCTTAAGACCCCAGACGCTATATCTTTTGATAGCCAGGCACCATCAGCTTTCTTCACCACACTTGCTACCCATTTTGTGTTCAGCCATTTGTGTCAGGAAGGTGAGCATCATGGAATGCCAGGTTATTAGAACAAAGTATTTTTGTGTTAGGGGAGGACTTGAGTAGAGACAACAGGATTAATTTCTATTATAGAAATGTGGAGATCTAAGGAAGTGTGGTAGTTATATAATTGTTTGTCAATTTAAGAGGATTAAGAGTGAATGGGTAGAGTCTAGCCTGTCAATCAGGTGATAGACAACAAGGCCTTTGTGTGGGCATGGCCTTCTCCTGAGGATTCTGGGACCTCTGGTATTCCTCCTTGGAGGCATGAGACTCTCTCTCAGCTCACTCCATGTGAGACATCCCTGTGGAAAAGATACATGGAAAGAGACTGATGGAGCCAGACCTCTGGAGCCAGAGAAGCCAAGTGGAGACCCCGGCCAGCACTGAGATGCTTACAGCATCACTGGATGCACAAGATTTCCCACCCAGTGGCCTTGTGCTTGGTGTCATTGCATGTGTTTCGTGAGTCTGATGAGGACTTTAGAGATTTGTATAGGACATATGGGCTAATATTGGACTTATGGACTTGATCTGGACGGGGCTGGGATAGTTTCTCAATATCCAATTGCTCTTGTATATAATAAACCTCTTTCTTACACATATATGAGTGTCTATGAATGTTTCTCTAGTCTACCTGGACTAACCAGGAGGATATTAGTTAGCTTTGCCATCCTTCTGGTTTTAAAAGGAGCCGTCTCAGAAGCAGGAAGCAGGCATCTCATCATTGAGATGACAGCCAGGAGTGGAGTGTTTCCTTTGGACCCTGAGATACCTGTGGATTGAAACTCCTTGGTCCAGGGACAGAGAGCTCTGGTAGCAGAGAAAGCAGATGAACAGCAGCCTCGGATACTGAGCGTGGAACAGAGTAGTGAGCTTCCTGGCCCATGAGTAAGTAAAGCTGTGTGTGTTTATGCAGGAGGGTCCCTTGTGGGTGTCCATACCCTTGGGCAGCTGATGCTGATGCTACCAGTGTTTCTCCTCCCCTCTTGTGATGTCAGAGGCCAGACACCACCCTGATGGCATACTTTTTACATACACTTTATATGTTGAAATGTACCTTTCACACTTATTATCTTTACTAAATATAAAAAAACATTAACACAATATTCTCTTTTTAACAGCACATTATGATGTATGATTATGTAGATTGATTTTCTCTGTAGGTTGATATTATAATGCAAACTTTCCATGTACCAATAAAGCACTCAAGTTTAACACCTGCATGTGTTAGAAAAACTAGTCTATTATCCAATCAAGGGATATTTTCAGGGCTGTTTAAAGATGCATTATTTTTTAAATTAACCTACATTCTCCAAATCTTGCAAAATGAAATATTGTAATCTAACATTAAAATATAACACACTTGTCGCGATATTTTAGTGGTTGTGTAACACATTACCACTAATGTAGTGATGCAAACCAAAAGTACATTCATTATCTCAGAATTTTTAAGTGTCAGGAGTCCCTTTGTCTAACTAGGTCCTTTGCTCAGGGTCTTA